GGCTCAGCGGGTTAACACGCTGGCCTGAAGCGCTGGCATCCCATATGGGTGCTGGTTCTAGACCCAGCTGCTCCACTTCCAATCCAGCTTTCTGCTATGGCCTGGGAAAGCAGCAGTAGAAGATGGCCCAAGTGCTTGGGCCCCTACACCTGCATGGGAGACCCGGAGGAAGCTCCTGGCTTCAGATCAGCACAGCTCCGGCCATTGAGGCCAATCAGGGAGTGAACCAACGGACGGAAGACCTCTCTCTCTCTGCCTCTCCTCTCTCTGTGTAACTCTGACTTTCAAATAAATAAATAAGTCTTTAAAAACAGAGAGAGAGAGAGAGAGAGAGAGAAAGTCCCAAACTGGTGTTGTACAGAAATACTACAATAACAGGGACTAGCAAATTTGAGGGCTATCACGGGCTGCCATCCTTCCTACATAGAGGAGTAAGTGCTTTAGTCAGTGGTATCTAGTGCCTTAGATTTGGCATTCAAGGCCAGTGCCCAACCTAAAAAAAAAAATTGAGGGGCCAGCGTTATGGCATAGTTAAGCCTCCGCCTACAGTGCCAGTATCCCATACGGGCACCAGTTCCAGTCCTGGCTGTTCCACTTCCGATCCAGCTCACTGCCAACACACCAGGAAAAGCAGTGGAAAATGGCCCAAGTGCTTGGGGCCCTGCACTCACATGGGAGACCCAGAAGAAGCTCCTGGCTTTGGCCTGGCCCAGCCCCAGCCATTGCCGCCATGTGGGGAATAAATCTGCAGATGAAAGATACCTCTCTAACTCTGCCTTTCAAAAAATAAAATAGGGGGCTGGTGCCGTGGCTCACTTGGTTAATCCTCCGCCTGTGGTGCCAGCATCCCATATGGACGCCGGGTTCTAGTCCCGGTTGCTCCTCTTCCGGGCCAGCTCTCTGCTGTGGCCCAGGAGGGCAGTGGAGGATGGCCCAAGTGCTTGGGCCCTGCACCCGCATGGGAGATCAATTAGAAGCACCTGGCTCCTGGCTTCAGATCGGCACAGCACCGGCCTTGGCAGCCATTTGGGGAGTGAACCAATGGAAGGAAGACCTTTCTCTTTGTCTCTCTCTCTCACTGTCTATAATTCTACCTGTCAAATAAAAATAAATAAATCTTAAAATAATAATTCTTTTTTAAAAAATTGTTTTTTAATCTATTTTTAAAGATTTATTTATTTATTTGAAAGTCAGAGTTACAGAGAAAGGTAAGACAGAGAGAGAGGTCTTCAATGCACTGGGTCACTCCCCAATTGGCCACAATGGCCAGAGCTGCGCCAATATGAAGCCAGGAGCCAGGAGCTTCTTCCGAGTCTCCCGCACAGGTGCAGGGGCCCAAGGACTTAGGCCATCTTCTACTGCTTTCCCAGGCCATAGCAGAGAGCTGGATCGGAAGAAGAGCAGCTGGGACTAAAACCGGTGCCCATATGGGATGCTGGCACTTCAGGCCACGACGTTAACCCACTGCACCACAGGCCAGCCCCTAATCTATTTATTTGAAAGGCTGAAGACAAGTCTTCCATACACTGGTTCACTCCCCAAATGCCTGTAATAGCTAGAACAGGGTCAGGCTGAGGCTGAGACAGGAATTCCATCCAGGTCTCCCAAGTGGATGGCAGGAACCCAACTACTTGAACCATCACCTGCTACCTCCCAGAGTACACACCAACAGAAAGCCTAAGCACACAGCAAAGCCAGGACTCAAATTCAAGCACTGCAGTATGAGATGAGGGCATCCAAAGAAGTGTCCCAGCTTCTGGGCCAATGCCCAGCTCTGCTCTCCTTTGTATCGCTGCTGGAGGAGGGAGCCAGGCATCCGGCCTAACAAAACGTCAGCTGAGATGTCTGCCTCCCATCTGAATGCGTGGGTTTGAGTTTCAGTTCTCCCAAGTTCAGCTTCTTGATAATCCCCATCCTGGGAGGTAGCAGGTGATGGCTCAAGTGCTTGGGTTCCTATCATCCACATGGGAGTCCTGGACTGAGTTTCCTGCTACCAGTTTTGCTGTGGGGTAAGCCAGTGGATGAGAGCTCCCTCTCCCAGCCTTTCAGGGAAAAAAAAAAAAGGAAAACAGCCATCTGGGGATCAAGCCAAAAAGCCAGAATGTATTCAGCAGGTCTGGGATGGGGCCTGAGACTCTGCACATCTAAGCAGCTCCCACAGTGTCCATGCTGCTGGTCCAGGGCTCTGAGGGGAGTGGCTCTCAATGCTGGCTCCATGTAAGAAACACTCAGGAGGTTTTAAAAGAAAAAGAACAAAAACTAGGAGGAGCAAACGGGCCCTACTCCAGATTCAATAAGTTAAAATCTTTGGGAAGCGGTGCAACAGGAAGAGTATTTAACTCCCCAGATAATTCTAACATGCAGCTAAGATTCAGCACAGCGATTTTAAGGTTCCCCTTATCTCCCCTGAGAGATACTATACATTCTGATGTAGGGGCTAAATCGCCTTCAGTTCAATTTCACCTTTTGCTAACAACCTGAGATTCCCGCCTCACTCTTTTAAGTAGAATCAAGCTCTGCTCCATGAAAACACTGGCCTAGGAAACATCTTCCAGCCTTCCCATTTCTCTCCACAGTGGACAAAATTCAAAAGCCTCACTCCCACTGGCACTTGATTTGAGTTCTGAGACAACAGACCATGGCCTAATCAAACACTTTTTTTTTTTTTTTTTACTGTTCTGGGATCAGGGGCTCCTAACTGTCGCCATGACTCAACTCCATTCACACTTTTACTGAGGGCCCATTTCAGAGAATCTACTCTTTTGTTCCAATTTATCAGTTGTAATCCAGTCTGCTGGAACAAGTGGCAACTGAGGTAGGCTGGAGGAGATCAGAAACCATCAGGGGCAGGTACTGGAATGCAGCCAGGCTTCAGAAAGGACAAGTGTCCCGGCTGCTGCACTTCCAGTCCAGCTCCCTGCTAATGCACCCAGAAAAGTAGTGGAGACGGCCCAAGTGCTTGGGCCCCGCGTGGGAGACCTGGATGAAGCTCCTGGCTTTCACCTGGCTCAGCCCTGCCTGTTTGGGCCATTTGAAGAGTGAACCAGTGGATAGAAGATCGATCTCTAACTCTGACTTTCAAATAAATAACTCTTAAAAAAAAAAAAAAAAAAAGACAATGTGCGGCAAGGCGTGCTTTCTCCCAATCCTGCAAATCGACTTCTCTCTGCTTCATTCTCTCCATGGTCTCTCTTCTCCTGCTCAACCAGAGGATGAGTATGGATCCCACCATGCTATGTTAACATGTTACAGTTCTTACTCCACAGGAAGATCCAAACTTCCCTCTCTCCTTCCTAACCCCAAAATCCAAGGAGAGGAGATCTGACTGGCTGGCGTGGACTAGGTGACACCTCCTAGCCCAGGTGGCTCTGGCTACTACAACATGAGGACCAGACACAAGACACTGTGGGCAGGTGGGCAATTCCCCAAAAGCAGCAGGGCAGAGGGAGACAGGAGCCTAGGAAAAGGCTTTCACATTCCAGAAGCCAGGGCAGCTTGAGAGGTCAAAGGGAGAAGGTCGTCTCCACTGCCAACAGGGAGCTGCACAGGCTGCCCACATAGCTGGGAGAACTTCAATACACACTCAGTGTATATTCACTGAGAACGGACTGCATGTGTCAAATACTGCGTTAGACTTAGCAACTGGGAAGTCAGCGACATACAAGGCTGTCTCTACCAAACGGGCAGCCTGCAAGATACAAAATGTGGAACAGTTACAGCGTGCACCAAGTCACCGGGCAAGGCCATGGACAACGCTCTGGAGCACCGACTAGGGGAGCCTCACCCAGACTTGGCACGTCAGGAGAAGCTTCTCTGAAAGACAGGTCACGTCTAAACTGAAGCCTGCATCGTTATTAGCAAAGAAGGAAGAAAAACGGCTCCACACAGATAATAAAAATGTTTATAAAGACAGGCCAAAAAGGGAAGATGGCAGGAGACGAACTTGGACAGCCAGGCAGTGGTCAAACTGCAGAGGGACTCACAGGGCCTCTGGACTTCAGCAGCACTAATGGAGACACTGGGATGGGTGCACTGGAGTTAACAGGGGAGGGTGTGTTTTGCATTTATGTATGTATGTATGTATGTGTATGTATGTATGTATTTGAAGGGCAGAGTTAGAGAGAGAGGAGAGGGAAAGAGACAGAGAGAGGTCTTCTATCCGATATTTAACTCCTCAAACACCCACAACAGCTGGGGCTGGGCCAGTCGGGATGCAGGAGCTTCTTCCCTGTCTCCCACGTGGGTGCAGGGGCTTTGTTGGGCCGTCCTCTGCTGCTTTCCCAGGCGCATTAGCAGGGAGCTGGATCGGAAGTGGAGCAGCTGGGACTGGAACTCGGACCCATGTGGGATGCAGGCATTGCAGGCTGCAGCTTAACCGGTTAAGCCACAGCGTCCGGGTCCTATGCAGGTGCATTCTGAAATGCTGGCCAGTGAGAGCAAGTAGATAAACAAAGTAGGGAGCAGGGGCCCTGTCAAGCAGCCATTCTTCCATAGAGGATTTTTGCCTCGTTCACCCGTTTCCAAGTGTAATCAAAATAACGGCACCTTCCCTTCCTATCTTTTTCATATTTTAACTAACAAAAACCAACTACGAATACAGTGAGCTGCCTCTGACGAGTCTTACCAACAGTAACGTCTACCTAAGAATCCCCGGAGCCCACGGAAGTGAGACGGCTGGAATGGCAGCCCCCAGACCCAGCCACGGGGGAAACCTGCAAACCACCGACCGACGCTGGGCTCCCCATCAGGAAACGTCCACCTGCCCCACACCCTGGACCCCCCCAGGCCATCGCCGGAACAAAGCCCGAAACGCTGCCTGATGGTGAGCCGGCTGGCGCACCAAGGCCCCGATCATCTGTCCGGTAACGAAACCTCTGGCTCACGCCTCTCCCACGCTTCCAAGTCCAACTCCACCCCGCAGGTGTTTCCTTCTGCACCTCAGCAAGGGGGCTCACGGCCCCCCGGCGGCCCCTCACCGCCCTCCGCCCCGCGCCTCTCACCAGGTCCCGGGCTCCGAGGGGCGGCTTTCCAAGACGCTCTCCTCCACCGGCCGCTCGAAGTAGGAGTCCAGCGCCCTCTGAAAAGCAAAGGCACAGGGTGGGCCGCGCGCTCCTCGAAGCGGGCAAGGGCGGAGGAAGGTAGAGAGGGCGTACTTCCATCTCCCAGTCGTTCTCGGCCAGGTAGCACTGCGCCACGGCGGCGTCGCAGCTCGCCACGGCGGCGAACTCGGCACACTGGAGCCGCCGCCTCTTCGCCTCGGGACTGCCTTCCTCCAGCTCCATCAGCCCGCCGCCGCTTCGCCAATCCCTCAACGGGAACCAGCTACCGCCTCCCCGTTCCGCGCAGGCGCGCGCTGCCCCGGCGCGGCCGCGTCAACCGCCCGGCTGGGAAACGCGCTCCGCGGCTGGGCAGCGGTCCGGGGGCGATTGGGGCGAGCCGGGACGCGCATGCGCGAGCCGCGGGGGCGAGGCCGAGGGCGGCGCGCGCACCGCCCTCCGGGTGTCCTGCGCCTCCGCGGGCCCGCGCCTCGCTGACCTGTGGGATTCGTGCTGGCTCAGGGTCGGGAGGCAGACGCCGCTTCACGATGAACTCCTTGACGCGGACGGTGCGGGAAGTGCTGAAGGCCATGGGCAGCGCGCCCTGCTTTGACAGAGTGTGTGACAAGGTATTAGCGCTCCCTCGGATGGGACAGCGAGTCCGGCGCGGGCAGCGCCTGGGACGAATGCGTAGGCTGTCTTACTGAGCGTGGGTGATTGCCATTAGTTTTTAAAAAGACGATTTTTTTATTTATTTGAGAGGCAGAGTTACGGGGGGGACAGGGGACAAGGGAGGTCTTCCATCCGCTGGCCCACTCCCCAGATGGCCACTCTGGCCGGAGCTGGACCTGGCCGGAGCCAGGAGCGTCCTCCGGGTCTCCCAGGCAGGTGCAGGGGCCCATCTTCCGCCGAGCAGACTCTCAGAAGTTGCAGTAAGTTTGAAGAATGGTATGTGCTGTATCTGGGTGGGCGCTATCCAACAGAAACACAAAGCAAGCTGCGAATACGGCCGCAAGTGTAATTATAGATCGCGTTAGAGCCACATGTTAAAGAAGCCGGCAGGATGGGTGCTTGGCGTAGTATTTAAGACAGCACTTGGGGTCGACGCCGCGGCTCACTAGGCTAATCCTCCACCTTGCGGGGCCGGCACACCGGGTTCTAGTCCCGGTCGGGGCGCCGGATTCTGTCCTGGTTGCTCCTCTTCCAGCCCAGCTCTCTGCTGTGGCCCGGGAAGGCAATGGAGGATGGCCCAGGTGCTTGGGCCCTGCACCCCATGGGAGACCAGGAAAAGCACCTGGCTCCTGGCTTTGGATCAGCGCGGTACGCCGGCCGCAGCGCGCTGGCCGCAGCGGCCATTGGAGGGTGAACCAACGGCAAAGGAAGACCTTTCTCTCTGTCTCTCTCTCTCACTGTCCACTCTGCCTGTCAAAAAAAAAAAAAAAAAAAGACAAGACAGCACTTGGGACACCAGAGCACCTGGATTAGAGTGACGGCTTGCTGCTGCAGTACACCATGAGAGGCAGCAGGTGATAGTTTAAGTAGTTGGGTCCCTGCCTCCCATGTGCGACACTTGGGTTGAGTTCCCAGACCCTGGCTGTTGCTGGCATTTGATAAATAAACCAGTGAATGAATCTCTTTCTCTTTGCCTTTCAAATGAATACAATATAAATATAAAGAAGAGAAATAGGTGAAATTAATTTTAGTAATATAAGTAACTCAGTATATTCAACATGTCATCAATTTAACATGTCAACAATATAAACAGTATTAATTTTTTCATAAAATCTAACCTTCTTCTTCTTTCCTGTTTTTTTTTTTTTTTTTTTGACAGACAAAGTTAGACAGTGAGAAAGAGAGACAGAGAGAAAGGTCTTCCTTTTTTCCGTAGGTTCACCCCCCAAATGGCCGCTACAGCCGGCACGTTGCACAGATCCGAAGCCAGGAGCCAGGTGCTTCCTCCTGGTCTCCTACGCAGGTGCAGGGCCCAAGCACATGGGCCATCCACCACTGCCTTCCCGGGCCACAGCAGAGAGCTGGACTGGAAGAAGAGCAACCAGGACATAACCAGCACTCAACCGGGACTAGAACCCAGAGTGCCAGCGCCGCAGGCGGAGGATTAGCCTAGTGAGCCGTGGCGCTGGCCAAATCTTTATTTTTTTAAATATTTATTTATTTGAAAGGCAGAGTTACAGAGAGGCAGAGAGAGAGAGAGAGGTCTTCCATCCACTGGTTCATTCCTAAAATGGCTGCAAGGGCCAGAGCTGCCCTTATTCGAAGCCAGGAGCCAGGAGTTTCCTCTGGGTCTCCCACACGGGTGCAGGGGCCCAAGGACTTGGGCCATCATCCACTTCTTTCCCAGCCCATAACAGAGAGCTGGATCGCAAGTGGAGCAGCCAGGACTTGAACCGACGTCTATATGGGATGCTGCCACTGTAGGCGGCGGCTTTACCCACTACGCCACAGTGCTGGCCCCTCTGACCTTTCTAAGTATATGTCATGTCTTTGCACTGAACTTTGAGTTGTTGGTTCAAATCATGAAACTTCCACAATGTTTTGGCATCAAATAGGTTGGTTTTTTTTTTTTTTTTCTCTCCATGTCTGCCTGATGATTCTTTATGTCCAAGGCCAACATTTGGCATAGCACTTAAAGCACTGCTTGGGATAACCCACAGTCTGTTGGAGAATCTGGATGCAAGTCCGGGCTCCATTCCCTATTCCAGCTTTTTGCTGATATGCACCCTGGGGGGCAGCAGGTAGCTCAGGTGGTTAGGTCACTGCCACCTTCAAGGGGAATCTGCATCGAGTCCTGGCTCTGGGCTCTATCCTGGCATGACCCTGGGTGTTGTGGGCATTTGGGGAATGACTCAGCAAATAGAGATCTCTCTGTCTCTCTCCTTCTGCCCCTTCCTCCTCCTCAAATAAATAAATAACTTAAAAAAAAAGAAAATGTTTCATTAGTGTGGTTTTTAGTCACCTCAGTGAACCATAATTGTGATTTCATGAAAAATAGTTATTTATTATAACACCAGAGATTTTTCAAAGCAAGAAATGCTCACTTTTAAAATGCAGGATTTTTAGATGCAAATTGTTAAAACAGTAAATTGGGAGGCCGGCGCCACGGCTCACTAGGCTAATCCACCTTGCGGCACCGGCACACCGGGTTCTAGTCCCGGTCGGGGCGCCGGATTCTGCCCCGGCTGCCCCTCTTCCAGTCCAGCTCTCTGCTGTGGCCAGGGAGTGCAGTGGAGGATGGCCCAAGTACTTGGGCCCTGCACCCCATGGGAGACCAGGATAAGCACCTGGCTCCTGCCTTCGGATCAACGCGGTGCGCTGGCCGTGGCAGCCATTGGTGGGTGAACCAACGGCAAAGAAAGACCTTTCTCTCTGTCTCTCTCTCTCACTGTCCACTCTGCCTGTCAAAAAAAAAAACAAAACAAAAAAAAAAACAGTAAATTGGTATAAAGATGTATATGGCTTCCCAGAAATATCTGTATTCTTACTGCTTTTGTTAAAATGAGAAGGGATAATGTTTCTTGGTATAAGAGGCAAGTGAGCAGGCCAGCCTGCAGCACCAGCATCCCATAGTGGTGCCAGTTTGAGTCCCAGCTGTTGTACTTCAGATCCAGCTTCCTGCTAAATGTGCCAGGGAAGGCAGAGGAAGATGGCCAAAGTGCTCGGGGCCCTGCCCCAAGAAGCTCCTGCTCCTGGCTTCAGTCTGGCCCAGCTCCGGTCATTGCAGCCATTAGAGGAGTGAACAGGTGGATGGAAGATACCTCTCTCACTCTCTGATCTCTCCCTGTCTCTCTTTGTAACTCTGCCTTTCAAATACGTAAAATAAATAAATCTTTAGACAACTAAATAAAAACAGGCAAGAGATGTACAATATTGTTGCTTCAAGGCTCCTCATTACCCACTCCTGCGGTGGCCTCACTGGTTCACTAAATACTCTAGATAATAGCACCTCACCAAAGCAAACTGCATTTTCTTTCTTTTTTTTTTTTTTTTGATTATATGAAACAGTGCTATCCTGATTGCCAATAACCTCTAACAGATTCTTTAAATGATTTTTTAAGTCAACAAATCAAGTGGAAAAACACTTTAAAATTTGACTGATAATATCCCAATGGGAGTTTGGTTTTGGTTGAATGATTTTGATCCAGCATAGGAACCTGGTAATATGCTCTCAGAAATGATCTGTTGAAGAGGCTCATTCAGTCAATCCTAGTACAGATACCAGGTCAATACCTAAGATCTTCCACCACAACATTCTTTGTATTAGCCTATTTGCTTTTTCTTTCTTTTTTTTTTTTTTAAGATTTATTTATATATTTGAATGGCAGTTACAGAGACAGAGAGGCAGAGGCATCCATCCACTGGTTCAGTCCCTAGACAGTCGCAACCAATCCGAAGCTAGAAGCCAGGAGCTTCTTCCGGGTCTCCCGGGTGCAGGGGCCTAAGCACTTGGGCCATCTGCTACTGCTTTCCCAGGCCACAGCAGAGAGATGGATTGGAAGTGAAGTGAAGCAGCTGGGACTCAAACCGATGCCCATCTGGGATGCCCGCACTGCAAGTGGTGGCTTTAACCGCTACACCACACACCCCACCACCACAGTGCTGGCCCCTGCCCTAAGACCTTTTATGTACCTATCTCAAATTGGCCATGACTAGAATCACTACCACTACTTCCCTGCAGGATCCTGGGTTATCTTTGGTATTGTTAGGCTACAGTGTGTAAAAAAAATATGAAATTGGGGCTGGCGTTGTGGCATAGCAGATAAAGTTGCTGCCTGTGATGCTGGCATCCTATATGGGCACCAGTTTGATCCCAACTACTCCACATCCAATCCAGCTCTCTACTATGGCCTGGGAAAGCAGTCAAAGATGCCCCAAGTGCTTGGGCCCCTGCACCCGCTCAGTAGACCTGGAGGAAGCTCCTGGCTTCCGTCTTTGCGGCCATCTGGGGAGTGAACCACCAGGTGGAAAACCTCTCTCTCTCTCGCTGCCTCTGCCTCTCTGTAACTCTGCCTTTCAAATAAATAAATAAATCTTAAAAAAAAAAAAAAAAGATGAAGAAGAAAGAAAACAATGAGTCTATTCCATTGACAATTATACAGATATTCAGACTTTGTTCTGCTTATATGGGGAAGTCCAGGGTATCAACCAGGTGGAGGCCCCCTTTTTATTTATTTATTTGAAAGAGCTACAGAGAGGGAGATAGATTTTCTATCCATTTTATTCTCTCCCCAGATTGCTGTAATAGCCAGGGCAGAGCCAGGAGCCAGGAGCTTTTCTAACAGATCTCCCACGTGGATAGCAGAGGCCCAAACACTTGGGCCATCCTCCGCTTCTTTTCCAGGCCATTAGCAGAGAGCTGGACTGGAAATGGAGCACCCAGGACACAAACTGGCACCCACATAGGATGCTAGCGTTGCAGGTGACAGCTTTACCTGCTGCGCCACCTCACCGGCCCCGGAGGCCTCTTTTTGAAATCTCCTTACATTTGTCTCTTTCTTTAGACTGACCACCGCTAAGAGCAGGGATTAAGCCTCATTTGTTGTTAACTTGTCAGAACCTTATTTAAAGTCCCTCACAGAGTCAGGCATTTGGTGCTGCGTGAACACACTGCTTGGGATGACTGTGTCCAATTTCACAATGCGGGGTTTGAGTCCCACCAGCCCCACTTCTGATTCCAGCATCCTGCTAATGTGCACCCTGGAAGCAGCAGGTGATGGCTCAAGTAGTTAGGTCCTTGCCACCCATGTGTAAGACCCAAATGGAGTTCTAAGTTCTTGGCTTCAGCCTAACCTGACCTGGCTATGTGGGCTTTGGGGGAGTGACTAGCAGATGGAAAATTTCTCTCTCTCTCTCAATCTCTCTCTCCATCTCTGTGTTTGTCTGCCTTTCAAATAAATTAATATAAATAATTTTAAGACCCGCACAAATGCCTGAGTAAGATGAGTTTACACCTTGTTCCTGCTTGATGTGTCTTACTAGTTTATAAAGACATCTCGTGACTAAATCATTTATTGCCATAAACAGGCTATATCCTACTCTAATATTTATTTTTTCCATTGATTTACATGTTGTGCAAAAACATGACATAAAATTGTTTTGGATGCTTTTTGCATGGTTCTGTTTTCCTTCTGGGCTTTTTGTGGAATTAAACAATAATAATGTGTGCTTATAAAATATGCAGAATCTTTGTAATGGGAGCCTTCAGGGAACTGTGTATTGAGAGATTTTCTAACTTAGCAGGGAGATGTGAAGGCAGGCAGACCTAGAACTAACTCAGTTCTGTCACATTTTAAGTGACCTTGCAAATAGATCACTCTGAATGTATCTGCAAAGTAGAAGTTATCCCTTCTTTATTGTACAGTATACTTATATCCCACACAGCAGTGTCTCAGTGATGGGCCACATACATGGTGGTGATCCCATAAAAATATAGTGGAGTTGAAAAATTCCTATCACCCAGGGAACACAGAGCTGGCGAAAAGGAGACGCAGAAGAGAAAGAAGCCCCATGGAAATTCACAGTGACGAGTGCAGCAGAAGCTTCCGCAGACCTCAGTCAGCTCCTTGAAAAGCTGGAAAATGTGAAGGATTTTCATGAATGTGGAGAAATGTTCCCTGTGCATTATCTGCCTACCAGTAAATCTATGATGGGGGGGCGGGGCGGGGGGAGAAAACCAGCACAGTGGACACTTCCTGAAAAGTGTCACCTCCTCAGGATCCTCAGGCCGGCCCCACGGGGGCGTCCAGGAGACAGCAACACCAGAGTGTCACCTCCCTGCTCGCCTTCCGGGGACTAGCTGTGCAAGTGGACCTCGTAGTCTGGACCCTGTGTGGGCCTCAGCTGGGCTAATGCGTGTGTGTGTGTCTGTTTTTTTTTTTTTTTAACAGAAAAGTTTAAAAGGATTAAATTTAAAATGCTTCTAGAAGAAAGATAGAGAGATAGAAAATTATAGCTCTATCATGTGTTTCAAGCTAAGCGGTACTATAAAAGAACCAGAGAGTTTTACTTGTTTTGAAGTTATAAAGTAAAAGTGTTATAAAACTCAAGTTAGTTTATTACTGAGGAAGAGAAGTACTTTGGGAGTCAGTGTAGCCTCGGTACGCGGGTCTGTAAGTGTGCAGCTCTGCACAGTCATGTCCTTGGCCTTCACGTTCTGTCACCTCCAGCAGCCTCGAGCCCTGCGAGCTCTGTTCACATGAGAGCCCTGTACGGCCGCAGCATTTTTATCTTTCACGCCACGTTTCACTGTACCTCTTTATGCCTGGCTACGCAAAGACCATTGATGACGACTGCTCAGAGCGCGCAGCACTGGAGCCTGGTGCACAGGTTTGGGTCCAGGAGCGACAGCTGTACCTTGCGGCCCAGAGGTGCAGCAGGCGCCACCAGCAAGGCCTGCGTCACCGCGCTCTGCACTGTTCACACAATGACAGTCACCTAGTGGCACATTCCCAGGACACGTGCCTGACGTGCCTGGCGTATGACAGCGCTCAATAAATGGTGGTCATCTGGAACTGAGCTATTTGGCGCCGAATTTCTGAATCAACTTTTTTGGGGGATTTCAGTTTTAATCTAGTGACTGTTTGGGCTTTTCTAGTATCACAGAATGAATGTTCAAAATGTTGTGTGTGTTTTTTTTTTTTTTTTTTTTAACATTTAGGTGACTCTGGTCTCTGCTGCCCCTGGGAAAGTGATTTGTGAAATGAAAGTGGAAGAGCAGCATACCAACAAATTGGGCACCCTCCACGGCGGCTTGACAGCCACCTTGGTAGACGTCATATCAACAGTGGCGCTGATGTGCACAGAGAGAGGCGCACCCGGTGTCAGTGTTGACTTGAACATAACGTACGTAGCCCAGATAACTTGTTCATAACTTTCACAGGACCTGAGATTCAATTAGCTGTTTGTCCTTAAGCTGTAAGATCTGCCCTAAAATACTGCACAGCCTTACAAGCGAGAACTGGAGGAGTTAATTCCCAAGTACAGTCATCTTCAGTCTCCATGGGGGACTGTTCCAGGACCTCCAAGGATACCAAAACCTGTGGATGCTTGAGTCCCTTCTATACAATGGTGCAGTGTTTGCATGTAACCTAAGCACATCTCCCGGTAGACTTTTCTTTTTATCATTTCTACATGACTTACACTATCAAACAAAATACAAATGCTGACTGTATGGTATATGTGTCCGTACTAAAGGGGAATGGTCACAAACATTCAGAAAATTAGGGCATCAGCTTTTTTTTTTTTTTTTAGAGGCAGAGTTAGACAGTGAGAGACAGACAGACAGAGAGAGAGGTCTTCCTTCCGTTGGTTCACCCTCCAAAATGGCCGGTGCACTGCGCCAATCCGAAGCCAGGAGCCAGGTGCTTCTCCTGGTCTCCCATGGGGTGCAGGGCCCAAGCACTTGGGCCATCCTCCACTGCACTCCTGGGCCACAGCAGAGAGCTGGCCTGGAAGAGGAGCAACCGGGACAGAACCAGCGCCCTGACCGGGACTAGAACCCGGTGTGCCAGCACCACAGGCAGAGGATTAGCCTAGTGAGCCGCGGCGCCAGCCTATCCTTGCTTTCTAAGCAGGAACATAAACTTTAAGGAAATTAAACATTGTATTCATCTTCATCCCCCCACCCCAAAGTTGTAAGTTAGCTAAGTAAATTTGGCAATTTAAGATTACAAGTGGGTAGAAACTATATCTTTAGAAATATGTAATTATTCCTCTGTATCCATCGGCTCCATATCTGTGATTTCAACCAAGTTCAGGGGGAAAATACTTAACAAAAAAAAAAAAAAAAGTGCATACTGGGGGCAGGTGTTTGGCCCAGTGACTAAGATCTCACTTGGAAAAACCTCTGTTCCATATCAGAGTGCCTGGGTCTAAGTGTCAGCTCTGCTTCTAATTCCAGCTTCCTACAAATGTATGCCCTGGGAGACAGCAGGGGATGGCATAGAAACTTGGGTCCCTGCCACCCATGAGGGAGACCTGGATTGTGTTCTGGGCTCCTTGCTTTGGCCTGGGCCAGCCATAGCTGTTTCATGAATTTGGGAAGTAAACCAACAGATGGAAGATCTGTCTCTGTCTGATTTTTAAAAAATGTGCATATGGGTGTCGCTCCCCCTCTTCGCGGAGGAACGACACAGGACCCTGCGCTGTTCTTTTGTCTGCTTGGCCCTTCCCGGGTTTGCTGCTGGTTCTTCCCGGGTTGGCTGCCGTCCCTTCCACCTCCGTGGAGGGGCGGTTCCCCCTGCCACTTTCCCCACTTCCGCGGGGGAGCGGCACACCGCCGGCCGGCTCTCTCGGGGGCTGCTCAGATGTAATCCGGATGTTCCCCTTAGATGTTCCTGGTGCATGGTGTCTCTCTCCTCCTTTATGGATGTTATGGTGTGGCAGGGTAAGCCACCTCTTCAGGTGCCTGCATCCCATCTTGAGTGCCTGAGATCGAGGTCCCACCTCTGCTTCCCAGCCAGCTTCCTGCTCATGCTTCCTCCTGGGTGGCAGCAGATGATGGCTCACACACTTGGGTTCCTGCTACCCAACACTGTAGACCCAGATGGAGCTCCTGACTCCTGGCTTTGACCTGGCCCAGCCCTAGCTGTTGCAGGTGTTTGGGGAGTGAACTAGTAATGAAAGATTTTAGTCTATTGTTCTGACTTTGAAATAAATAAAAATGAGTAAACATTTTTAAAAAGTGCAGAACTTTTTTCCTTATTATTATTCCCTAACAAGACAATTGAACAGCTATTTATATGCTATTTACGTCTTATTAGGTACTGTAAATAACCTAGAGGTGCTTTAAAGTATATGGCTGGATGTATGGAGGTTGTATGCCAATACTGTGCCATTTTATATGTGGGAACCGGGCATTCAGATTTTGATATTCAGGAGGTTCCTGGAACCAGTGTCCCACAGATAACAAGAGACAAGTACACAATTCATCACCAGGAGTATAAGGGGTTCATATTAATTCCTTAATTTTTTTTTAATCAGCAAGTGATCATTTTATTAACAAAAACACCTTTGGCGTGTTTATGATGAAATATACCAAAATATGGAACAAAATTGTGTGTAAACTAATTTTTTAAATTTATTTATTTTATTTGAAAGGCAGAATTACAGAGAGGCCGAGGCAAAGAGGAAGAAAGAGAGAAGTCTTCCATCTGCTGGTTCACTCACTCCCCAGATGGCCACAACAGCTGCAGCCACCCACATGGGAGACCCAGAAGAAGCTCCTGGCTTGTGGCTTAGGATCCGCGCAGCTCCAGCTGTTGTGGCCAATTGGGGAGTGAACCAGCAGATGGAAGACCAATCTCTCTCTCTGCCTCTCCTTCTCTCTCTGTGTAACACTGCCTTTCAAATAAATGAATAAATCTTTAACAACAACAACAACAAAAAGAGTAACTCATAGATGGAATAGATATCACAGCTAAAATAACCAGTATTGTAAGTCCCACAGTTCCAGAAAACATCTCCATCCTCCAAACATCATATGTTCAATCCAGGCATCCTCTTTGTTTTGTTGGACCTTTTTTTTTTTTTAAAGATTTATTATTTGAAAGTCAGAGTTACACAGAGAGAGGAGAATCAGAGAGAGAAAGAGAGAGAGAGAGAGAGTGTCTTCCATCATGGTTCACTCCCCAAATGGCCGCAACAGCTGGAGCTGCACCGATCCAAGCCAGGAGCCAGGAGCCTCCTCCAGGTCTCCCACGTGGGTGCAGGGGCCCAAGGACTTGGGCCATCCTCTACTGCTTTCCCAGGCCATAGCAGAGAGCTGGATTGGAAGTGGAGCAGCCGGGTCTCGAACCGGCGCCCATATGGGATGCCTGCGCTTCAGGCCAGGGCGTTAACCCACTGTGCCACAACCCCTTGCTGGACCTTTTGATCTCCCCAGTTTAATAATTTGTATCTGTAGGATCACCTCATTGGATAAAATAAACTATAAACTGTACGCAGGACAGCAAAAAAGAAACTGAGTTCTTAGATTGCTTAAATTCTAATTATTGAATCAAGACATAGACATCAAGTGATGCTTTACCTAGGAAGTTAAGAAGTCAGAAAAAAGCTAGGTGAAGTCCTCCACTAGCCCCAAATATGACGTGAGAAACTTAAAGGGGAGAAATAAAAACGTTTTCATATTTATCAGAATAGAAACTTACATGGAAGGACTGGTTAAGATAGAACGTGAACAGGATCACTCATTCCAATTTGATAGTGCAAAAAGCCAGAAGTTTTCTTCAACTCTTTTTAGTAATAAAATAAGTTACATAGGAAGGCTGCTAATGGGCTTACAACAACATCCCCTTCTAAAAATTATTTGCCATTGGCCAGCACCGCGGCTCACTTGGCTAATCCTCCGCCTGTGGCGCCGGCACCCCGGGTTCTGTCCCGGTTGCCCCTCTTCCAGTCCAGCTCTCTGCTGTGGCCCGGGAGTGCAGTGGAGGATGGCCCAAGTGCTTGGGCCCTGCACCCGCATGGGAGACCAGGAGGAAGCACCTGGCTCCTGGCTTCAGATCAGCACAGCGCGCCAGCCATAGTGGCCATTTCGGGGGTGAACCAATGGAAAAGGAAGACCTTTCTGTCTAACTCAGCCTGTCAAAAAAAAAATTATTTGCCATTGGGACCAGCATTGTGGCACAGGTTAAGCCTCCACTGGCATCCATATTGAGGTGCTAATTCGAATCCCAGCTACTGCACTGCAAAGGCCAACAGATGCTGGTTCAAGCACCTTGCCACCCATGTGGGAGACCAGGATGGAGTTCTTGGTTCCTGGCTTCAGTCTGGCCCAGATCTGGCTGATGTGGCTATTGGGGAGTGAAGTAGTAGATAAGAGAGCTATGTGTGTGTCCCTCTGTCGCTGTTTCAAATGAACCTTTTTAAAAAATTTTGCCATTCACTGTATTTAAATTTGTTTCATTTCAAGGTACATGGCACCTGCGAAAATAGGAGAAGATATACTGATTACAGCGCACATCTTGAAGCAGGGGAGAACACTTGCATTTGCCTCGGTCGATCTGACCAGCAAGGCCACGGGAAAATTAATAGCACAAGGCAGGCACACAAAGCACCTGGGAAACTGAGAAAACAGCCTGCAGCCTAAAGAAACAATGAATATCAAATATAAACTTGACTTGAACAAATATAATGCTGAAATAAATCACCACAACCGAAGTAGCTAAGAAACACTTTCTTGGGAGGATGGGACCTAGGAACCAAGTAGAGTGGTTGGTGGGCTGTCTGTGTTTCATTGTAAGCATCTTCTGTTTTTTAATTATATGCATAAATGGGTACAAAATTCAAGGCTCAAAATGCTACGAAAACTTGGGTAGGGGCCAGCATTGTGGTATACTGGGTTAAGCCACCGCCTTAATGCTGGTATCCCCTGTGGGTGCTGGTTCAAGACACAGCTGCTCCAGTTCCAGTCCAGCTCCCTGCTAACGCACCAGGGAAAAGCAGCAAACAACCTGCCACCCACATGGGAGACCTGGAGGAAGTTCAGAGTCCTGACTAATTTAGGGCTGGCACAGCCCTGACCTTTGCAGCCATTTGGGTAGTAAACCAGCAAATGGAAGATCTGTCTCTCCCTCTAACTTTCAAATTAAAAAAAAGTTAAAAAAAGGAAAAAACTTAGGTAAAGCTAAGCGGCTAGAAGGGCCACTCTAAGATTACTTTAAATTGACAAGGGTAGGAACCATCCAGCCTGTGGACCATGAGACCTACAAAATCATTTGGCCTGGCCCTGCCAACTCAACCACAGGCAGGACTGCAAATTCAGTAAAGCTGTAGCAGGCTGATTTTTAAGCTGTTAATTTTGTAAGGCCTGTGAGTGATGTTATAAATATTCAGATGGCCCCTGGCCAAAAAAGCCCTGCTTCAAAAGCTAACATCCAATACTAAGCTAAAGGAGAAATGTGATGGTTGTTTTACTGTCAGGCTGCTATAAACAAAATACCATAGACTCAGTGGCTTATAACAACTTCCAGTTCCGGGCAGGGAAGCCAAAGGTCGAGGCTCCAGCAGTTTCTGTGGGATTGAAGGCCATGATCTGGTTTACCGATGCCACCTTCTGGCTGCCCCCACAGGGCAGGACAAGGGAGCACTATGGGGTCTCCTACAAGGGCATTAAATCAAAGTACCCCCTCAAAAAACCCACCTCCTAGTACATAACATTAGTGGTTAGGGTTTCAACAGACGAGTTTTATAATGCAGATATTCGGGTCATAGCAATGGCCAATCCTTAATTTTAGGGCCTCTCAACTGTAAAATGGGACACATTTCCATTTCTTTCTAACCTCAACTTAAGATGGCGGGACTCCAAAATAGATAAACCATTGGCCATATTAGAAAGTAGAGGCGCCAGGTGTCAAGGTGTAGTGGGTAAAGCCACTGCCTGCACTGTCAGCATCCCACGTGGGCATGGGTTCAAGTCCCGGCTGTTCTATTTCCATCCAGCTCTAAACTATGGCCTGGGAAAGCAGTAGAAGATTGTCCAAGTGCTTGGGCCCCTGTACCCTTGTGGGAGACCTGGAAGAGGCTCCTGGCTGCTGGCTCTAGATCGGCTCAGCTCTGGCCATTGCAGCCATTTGGGAAGTGAACCAGTGGATGGAAAACCACCCCCCACTCCCCCCGCCTCTGTATAATTCTGCCTTTCAAATAAATCAAAAAAAAAAAAAAAAAAAAAAAAAGTTGATTTCGCCACACTGCCTGAAGTAACCCTAAAGGAAGTTTCAGGTAAAGCACAATAGTGATAGGAAATGGTCCCAATGTTTTTGATAATTTACTACAGCACTGGCCAGCATCTTTTGTATTAGAGGAAAATACTATTAGCCCCTCTTAACACCTAGCATAAGATCTTCACTCTCCATCCCCAGTATTGAACGTCTAAGTTCACATATTTCACCTTCTCGAAGTTCTGTTGACTGGCACTTTCAATATTTGTTTTCTGTATCAGGAAGTCCTAGTGAACATTTCACAATTAGACTTGGAAAGAAAGGAGGCAGCTTTAAATAAATTTGAAGTGAAGCTAAAAGTTTACCATGGGGGTCAAGCATATGTGGCACAGCTGGCATTCCGTATCAGAGCACTGCTTCTGATCCAGCTCCCAGATACTGCACCTGCAAAGCCAGTGGATGATGGTTCAAGTACCGGGGCCCCTGCTAACCATGTGGGAGACCAGGAGGAGTTCCTGGCTCCTGCTTTCAGCCTGGCCATTTTCAGACCTGTTTACAACCATCTGGGGAGTGAACCAGCAGGTGGAAGCTCTCTCACTGCCTTTCAAATAGACCTTTAAAAATTGAATTCTGCTTCGCCTGTGTAAGAACAGTGGACAGAACAGGGTATTCAGGGACCCAGATCTAGACTTCTCCTATTTCCTACTCAAAGGTACCTGGGATTCCTGGAAAAATCTGATTCCAGGCTGAAGGCTGGGGCAGAAGTTATGATAGTGTATGCCCAAAAGGAAGTGCTCAAAACAATGACACTGGCATGCAAGTTGTGCCCCAAGGTGAAAAAGAATCTTCGTCCATAATGTTAAAATGGGTAATAAATGGCCGAAGTTCCTTCCTTACAATGAAATGCTAAGAAATATAAAGGGAGAGGTACATTTGGAAAACCACCATTTTTGCGACCATCGTAAAGGTCTCATCATCTTCAGGAGCTCATGATAAAGGACACAGGTATTTGCCTGTTCCCCCCAAATGCTAAAGGAGACAGTGCAGAAATGGGATAACACCTGGGCCAGGTCATCAGAAGAGTGCTTTAGAATATTAACTTGAGAGGGACATTAACACCAATCTTGAACATGACTCAAATGCAAAATGAAGTTGGAAAAACCTCTGGGGCCAGAGATGCAGCACAGTAGGCTAAGCCTCCGCCTGTGGTGCTGGCATCCCATATGGGCACCAGCTCGTGTCCTGGCTGTTCCTCTTCCTATCCAGCTCTCTGTTTATGACCTGGGAAAGCAGTGGAAGACAACTTGGACCCTTGTACCCACATGAGAGACCAAGATGAACCTCCTGGCTTTTGGATGGGCCCAGCTCTAGCCACTGCAGCCATTTGGGGAGTGAACCAGCAGATAGAAGACTATTCTCTCAGCCTCATTAAATCTTAAAAAAAAAACTCTACTCCAAAAAATGTCAAGGTCATAAAGAGGAAATGCTGTTCTAGATTAAATGGGAAAAGACCACTAAATGCAATGATAATGTACACAATTTTAGGATTTTAAAATGTTTTCCCTAAACAAGACTGTTAGGACTAGTAAAACTAGATTATGGATGACAAAGTCTTCAATGTTATACTCCTGAAGTTTGGTATTTTTTCTGTAAGATATCCTTATTACTCAGAATTGTGATGTATCAATAAACCCTCAAATGGTTCCGTAATACGTTAAGTACAGAGAATGAAAACCAATGTGGATACAGGTAATACAAGAGCTTGTGATGCAACTTTTCTCAATTTCTTTTTTGGAATTCAATACAGTACAATGGCCAAGTGCTGGCCAGTGCCGCGGCTCACTAGGCTAATCCTCTGCCTAGCGGCGCAGGCACACCAGGTTCTAGTCCCGGTCGGGGCACCGGATTCTGTCCTGGTTGCCCCTCTTCCAGGCTAGCTCTCTGCTGTGGCCCGGGAGGGCAGTGAAGGATGGCTCAAGTGCTTGGGCCCTGCACCCCATGGGAGACCAGGAGAAGCACCTGGCTCCTGCCTTTGGATAGGCGCGGTGCTCCGGCTGCAGCGCGCCGGCCGTGGCAGCCATTGGAGGGTGAACCAACGGCAAAAGGAAGACCTTTCTCTCTCTGTCCACTCTGCCTGTTAAAAAAAAAAAAAAAAAAAAAAAAGGCCAAGTGCTTAGACTCCAGAGCCAGTCAGCTAGTTTTAAATCCTCCACTAAAGACTTGAGCTTGGGCAAGTTCTTAACCTCTGCACCTATTTCCCTCAGGGTTGTTTAATTAAGGTAAGAAGTGAGAACAGCATCTGGCCACAGTAAACGTTCAAAGTGTTACTTTGAATATCTTCCGGGGCCAACATCCCATATGGGCACTGGTTGGAGCACTTCTGATCCAGCTACCAGGTAGTACGCCTGGGAAAGCAGCAGCAGATGGCTTAGCTTGGGCCCTGGACCCACTCGAGAGACCCAGATGGAATTCCAAGCTCCTGACTTCTACATAGCCCAGCCCCAGCAATTGTGGCCATTTGAGGAGTGAATCAATGGATAGAAGATTTCTCTGTAACTCTTTCAAGTAAATAAATTAATCTTTTGAAAGACTTCTGAAGAATTATTTTAGCTGACCAGAAAGTATGTGAAAGCTGTTTTTCTTTCCCGTGAAGCAAGGCTGCCAACTATTGAAAACCGACAAAACATCCTCGATTCCTCTACTTACTGAGGATACAAACCCAACTGCCAAGTTTTTCTGAGGTTATGGTTTCACCGTGACTTGGAGAAATAAAGTTACCACTTCAAGCTTTGTGTATTCACCTGAATAGTCAGGGAACTTTCACCTATTTTATTTAGGTTTTCATTTTTTTTCAAATTCCAACCAGAAGCTAAATACAATTGGAAACTGGTAAGCATTAGTTTTACTCCAAAGGAGTAGGATCATTCAGATTTACTCCAATAAAAGTATGCAACCCTTAAGCAAAGCCTTTCTTCATTTAAAAGAAAACAAAACAAAAAAAACTATACAGTAGTCTTTCCTTATGTTCATTGCACAAATGAGTTCTGCTTTTAGAACTTCGACACTCAATGGTTTTTTTTTTTTTTACAATTTAAGATCCCAACTTTTATAACTTTTTCTACTCCAAAAACCCTCATTTTTCTTTAGAATGGTGTAGAAACCAGTATTTCTGCACAATCACTGGAATTTTCTTTGTAATTAAATCTCCTCTTTAAAACCAAAAAGCAAAGTCCTCTACCTATCATGGTTTCTGCAGCTATGAAAGTATTTCTCAGTTTTATAGCTGCGTTAGCTACTTCAGACTCCAGATCTGCTTATGTGTACAACTGCATCCACACTCAGCAGAATACTTTATAACAGCAACTTAGGGAAAGAGATCTGGGAAAAAAATACATGAGTACCAGGAAACAAATATGGCCCAGTAAGATATGAGGCAAGACTGCCTACAATGAGATGCTTTTTTCACTTAAGATTTCTTTCCCATGGTTGGTTTGGTTTTGTTTTTTGTAACCACTCTGGTCATCAGAATGAATCTGACAGTGCTCTGGAACAACGGTGACTATAGCAAAGCTATTAAGTTTTTTCAAACATTATTTATACCTGTTACATCGGTTCTCGCCCTCTAAATACTGATGACAGATGTCAGAGGCAAAAACCCGGACAAATGGGAAGACCATCGAGAGTGAGTATCACCTTGTGCTTTCAGACACAGTGACGCATTCAGTGCACAATAGTCCTTTCATTCACATTTTCGCAAGATGCTGATGCAGTGCAGCGAATATGCAAAGCATCTTCTTTCACACAGTCCGTGCAGAAGACATCTAATTTGTTTAAGTTCTGAGATACAAATGATTAAAAAAAAAAATCCAGAATGAAGTTTCAAAATGCATAGTGTTCTGTGCATGAGTCCATTTTCCTTAAACGCTGAAAGAATAAAGTGGTAAGAAAACAAGAAAAAAAATTGCTGCTGCATTCTCTGATCTTCTCCATTTTGCTGGTCAGTCTATTCCGGCATGTAAGGACGGAGGTGATCCTCTATGGTGCCCACTGCCCAGTGGGTAAGCTGTTCCTGTGGCAGGTAAAGGCAGATGCTGCATAACTTGAAGATTGTAGCTTTGTTTTTTGGAGTCTGGAAGGGGAAAAAAATATTAAACAAGACTAACTGTCACTTGAAGTCAAATTCCCAGAATTTAAGCAACTAAGGGTATACAATAAAGCATTCAGAGTAAGGGATAAGCAGGGTTCCTACCCACACTCTAGTTAGGAAGATAATCGTACCACTCCAGATACAGGAAAAAGAGGGAAGCTAACTATAAACTAAATAAATGCTGAGAAAACTTATGCAGAATTAAAAAATAAAAACTAGCACTTGCCAAAAAGAACTGGGGTTAAAAACATTTCGTGGAGATATTTGATCAGAGACTACATCTGTACTAGACCCTGCCCACTCAGGGCATGTGACTATACTACTTTAAGACTATCCTTTGGACTAGCCCTTATCATGGAGCTCACATTATGACAAAAAGCACAAGATCTCTGCCAATGATTTTGACCAAGTTATAATTAATTCTTTAGCTATGAAAATGGTTACCTCAGATTGTTAAGGATTAAATGAGTCCACACATGTAAAGCCCTTCATATAATGACTATAGTGCTAACATCATTTCCTCATAGACTAAGTGGTGGTGGATTCTTCTATAAATTACAAGTATGTCAACACACCTCCAGCTCATGAAGATTAAGAACATAATCTTCGTACAAAGCAAAGAAAGAGGACTAAGAATACATACACTGAAGATCAAGTTCATCTACAACAAACTGCTCCAGTTTGCCTGAGCCTGAAGCATTTCTAGGACTTGAATCTTTCAGTGCTAAACTGGGACAATCCAAACACACTGTTGGTCCTCTTACCCATAACCCAAATTTTAGCTGATAGAACTTAAAAGGCTTTTTTTTTCTTTTTCCATCAAAAGGATTCAATCTGTTTACTTTTCAAGTTCTTTGTTTTGTTTTTTATTTGAAAGGCAGAGTTATAGAGAGGAGGACAGAAAAAGATCTTCCATCCACTGGTTCACTTCCCAAAAGGCTGCAATGGCCGGGGCTGGGGCAGATCGACAGAAGCTTCTTCCAGGTCTTCCATGTGGGTACAGGGGCCCAAATATTTGAACCATCATCTGCTGCTTTCCCAGGCACATTAGCAGGGAACTGGATGGAAAGTGGAACAGCCGGGTCTTGAACCAGCACCCATATGGAATGCCAGCATCATGGGTGGAGGCTTAACCTGCTATGTCACAACAGCAGCCCGTTTGGTTCTTAACAAATAAAAAGATCTCTCCTTGATAATAAAGTAATTTCTCAAAGTCACTAGACCATTTTATACAGTACTAACGACCTCATAATACACACATATGAAATTTAATTCTCCTATATTAGCAAACCTATCATCAAAGCTTCTGTGATTAAAAATCTGGTGTGTATTCCATCACGTCAGTAACCTTTAAACTGTGTAAAACTATCTCAATTGCCTACTACAGGTAGTTTTTCAAAAAGTCAAATGAAGTACACTACAAGCAATTAAAAAGGAAAAAGCATTTACCAGAAGACATAAAGAAACCAGTATTTGAAAGTTTATATCCCTCTAACCCAGATTTCTCTTTCTCAGCACTCACCACCATCTAACCGTATTTTAGTTACATGGCTGAGTCTCCCATGATGGGATACGAATCCATCCAGACAGGGATTAGTTAATATTTACTTCACTGCCATGCAGTGCCTGGCCCTGTGTAGGCACTCTTGCTGAATGAATGGTAACATGATGCTGTTGTCTCCAGGTTATTAACTTATAACAAAGAAGCTATCAAATTCTAATTCACTTTAAAAAAAAAAAAAGATTTATTTATATATCTGAAAGACAGAGAGACAGAGAAACATCTTCCATCTTTTGTTTCACTCCCCAAATGGCCAGGCCAGGCCGAAGCCAGGAGCTTGGATCTTCCATGTGGGTGCAAGGGCCCAAGCACCTGGACCATCTTCCACTGCTTTCTCAAGTGCATTAGCAGGGAGCTGGACTGCAAGCGAGGCAGGCAGGATTCAACCAGTGCCCATACAGGATGCTAGCACTGAGGATGGCAGCTTCGCCTGCTGCACCAACACCACCAGCTCCATAGTTTTTCATTCGTTTTTCAAATCAACTGAGAACTGAATGCCATCACAAAAATTTATACAGTTTTTAATAAGGCTGCTGTAGGGCATTAGATTCTACAATTTAACAAGTTCCCAGGTGATGTTTATCTGTTGAGCACATGCCAGGTTGAAAAGTTCAAAGGCAGTGGTTTCAGCACTGTACACTGGGATCCTAACTTTCCTGTAAGTTCTAACACACAGCAAAGTTTGAGAATCATTCTAGGTTGAGGCCTACAATGTTTCTTGTAAATAACTAAAAATAATGCAGTTCTGACAGGCAAAACAGAATCAAGTAACTAGTTTACAAAACTGTTTACCAACCAATAAGCTTTGTGAATGAGTTCCTTGGTGATTGTCAGGAAAAAAAAAATTCTTACCTGCAAGTGCTGTCTGTCAATGAAGAGAAACACTGACTGGTTAGGATTGTTGACAACAATTCCAGTCTTGTCCTTGCGGCTCAGTACATGCAGAAACTGCTTTTCATAGTCACCGTGATGAAACTCAAATTTGGCCTAATGACAAAATATTTATATGTAACCACAAACGTGTGCTTTCCCTGCAGAAAGTTCTATCAGGTAACACTCCCATTATGTAACTTGTTCTTTAAGATCTGTACCAAAGCGACTAAATCTTATACGCAAAGATTTTAAGCCGAAGTTCATAAAATCCTATTTTCAAACCTACTCGGCTGAAGACACTCACCTTAGCACTTCAAACCCCAAGGACACCACCCTCCTTTCATTAGAAGACACACTGTTAGAATCCTTCACCACTGATCTTATGCAAATCCCTTAACTTCTCTAAATTTTAGTCTCATCTATAAAATACAGTTCTAGTCTATTTCACAGGACAGTTGAGAAGATTAAATGAGATATCCACATGTGAAATATTCCACTCCTCACATAAACAGGCTTCTGAGGACACAGGAATCCCTGATATTATCTGAGAGGCAGCGAGATAGAAAGAGAACATTCTCATCACTTATTCATTCACTAAATACCAACAAGCAGGCAGAGCCAGGAGCCTGGAACAAATCTGGGTCTCCCATATGGGCAGCTCAGTCACATGGCATCACCTGCTGCCTCCAAGGTGCACAATGGCAGAGAACACAGCCAGGTCTCAAACTCAGGCACTAAGACATGGAATGCAGGTATCACAGACGACATCCAAACATCCATTCCCCCCACCACCACTCAAATGTTTTAGAATTTATGTGTATATTTTCCATAGCCAGCCTCAGATTGTTTTAAAGTTTCTAAGTTATCAAAGACTTACGATAAGAACACGCTTTCCATCTCTTAACATTATCAACTTGATCTTCCCACAAAATGTCTGTAGACACTGGCAGATGCTGAATATGGGTGGGAAGACCAAGGGAGAACTGAGCAGACACCTTTAACAATCTGACATGGAGATAAAAATGGACTGTAGAAATCAGTTCGTCTGGTTCAAAGAATTTTTACTCCCTTATGATGTGAACAAGTAGGAAATTTGGAAATGAAATCTTGGATTTTACTGCCTAGTAGCTTTCCTTATAAACTGTAACATAAAATATACATGTCTACATACTACTTGCATGTAAAACGATAGAGAAATTATACTTTCACACAATTGCAATACTAAATTCTTAGCATTTTCACAAGTTTATTTAAAACATGCTATTAGCTACTAAAAAGTATAAGATTTTCTCAACCTTAAAGGGCTTATATGGAGCAAGCACTGTGGCTAGCGGGTTAAGCTATTGGCAACATTGGCATCCCGTATGGGCACCAGTTCATGTCCCAGATGCTCTACTGCCAATCCAGCTCCCCACTGATATGCCTGGGAAAAGCAAATGAACATGGCCCAAGTACCTGGGCCCCTGCCACCAATATGGGAGACCAGGATGAGGCTCCTGGCTTTAGCCTGGCCTATCCCTGGCCATGGCAGCCATTTGGGTAGTGAATCAGATGGAGGCCACTCTGTTTCAAATGAATAAAAGCGTCTCTGAAAAAATGGGGGTGGCAGCCAGCATTGTAGCATAGGTTAAGCCTCCACCTGCAATGTAGGCATCCCATATGGGCGCCAGTTCGAGTCCTGGCTATTCCACTTTCGATCCAGCTCTCTGCTAATTTGTCTAGGAAAGCAGCAGCAGATGGCCCAAGCACTTGGGCCCCTGCAGCTCCATGTGAGACTTGGATAAAGCTCCTGCCTCCTGGCTTTGGTTTGGCCCAGCCCCGGCCACTGGGGCCATTTTTGAGAGTGAACCAGCAGATGGAAGATCTCTGTGTCTCTCCTCTTTCTGTAACTCTTTCAAATAAAACAAAATTAAATCTTTAAAGAAAAAAAGAAGTAGAAAAATGGGGGGAGAAGAGGGTGCAGAACTCGCATCAAAAACCTTCCCAGGGGCTGGCAGGGGAACAGTGAGTTAAGCTGCCACTTACAACACCAGCATCCCACATCAGAGCACTAGCCAGAGTCTTGGCTGCTCTGCTTCCAATCCAGCAGGAAGACAGCAGCAGACAGCCCAAGTACTTGGGGCCCGTGTGGGAGACCTAGATGAGAGTTTCCAGACTTCTGGTTTCAACCCAGACCAGCAACTGGTCATTGCAGCTATTTGAGGAATGAACCAGTGGATAGAAGATCTGTCTCTCCCCTTGTGTTACTTTTCGAAAAAAAAAAAAAAAGGAAAAAGGCTTTCGAGTAAGATGTCACTATCTGTGAAACTTCAAA